ACATTTTTGACATTTTGTCCTTCAAACTTTATAAAATGTATAGTACAAACTTAAAATTTCAATAAGAGAATCATATTTTGGAAAAGAAAGAATGCGTTGGATTTGAGAGGAAAAGATTACAAAATGAGTCCCCAAGACTAAACAAGAGGAATTATTAATCCAATTAATTAAAAAGGTATTTGATGGGTGAAGTCAACATCATATTCAAAGTTTAATCCATATTGCAACCTGAAATTGCAACAAACCTAATTTGCTTTGTTCTTATCCATGCTTTTGTGGATGTGTAATGCTTTAACTCTTTCTTTTTGGCTGTCATCCATTGGAGCATTTTAAAAGTAAAAGAAGTTGCAAATCGTTTCACATATATATTTACTGTATTATTCTTCAAAAGAGTGTAAGTAATTATGCAGAACAAGAATAGCAATACATCATGCATATGCTTGGAGAAGTGAAAGTTAGAAATATCCATTAACTTAAAAACATCGATGTCAAAGAAATCTACTTGCAACAATATATGTAGAGTGATTCCATCCAAATAATGTTTGTTTTTGATTTCTTTCTTGCTTTACATGGTGAACCGATGATGTTGTTGTTTGATTTATTTATCCTTGAAAACGGCTTAGAGGAGATCACTTTTAAGTGAGGATTGTAGTGAGAAAAGAATGGCAACTGGGAGGCAAAATGATTTCAGAATACATAATTGAGAATAAACACTCTAGAAATGTTGGTGTTGGAATAAAAGTTTGTTCCTGTAACAGGTGTGGTGGGCACTAGGTGTGGAAATTAAATGAACTGTTGGAGATGCATAGTTATTCTACCCTTTCATTTCTTGGACCCCAACTGAATGTAACCCTTTTGTAATCTAAAGTACATTAAACAGAACCTTTACCTAATCTTAATTACTCCATCAATCATCAGAGCCAAAAGCCAAACGGTGAAGACCATTAAAGGTCCTCTTACTCAGTTCTTGATAACTGATTTGGGTTAAAAGAAATATAGGTAATTCTCATGTTAATTTTATGATGAAGTGCATGTGATTAACTTAATTGGAATATGAATGGCATATATAGATTAAAATGATTGATTATTAATGACATAAGATTAAACTGTCAAAGATTGTGTTAATTTAAATTTAAAAAGTTGTTAAACTAGTGAAAACAATATGGAAAATGATTAAGAGACAATTTTTTTATATAATTTTTTTTTATAATTTCTTCATTGTATTGAAACTTATGATATTACATATATCTATTTACTTAATAAAATATAAAAATTTTGAAAATAAATCATATTCAATGGTCAAACAATATCGGTTCCTTTGCTTTTTGGAAAATTATCTATTTCAATTTATCCACCTTGACTTGGCTTGTGGAAAATCAGAAAGAAGGGATGTAGATACCTTCTCTTTTTCTACCATGTTTTATTAACACTTTATACATACTCTAACAAAATAGATAGATAGCCTCGAATTGTTAGATGACTAAGCATGGATTAAGTCAAAAGAGAACTTAGAGAAATGAGGAGGACATTTCTTCCAATGAGATTGAGCTGAATCTTTGAACATAAGAACATTAATTTAATGATACATCCTTTTCAAAAACTTAATCTAAAATCCCCCATCTTTTGGCGTTATGTAGTTAGTTTCAACACATGATACCCAACTTTATGTAAAGCATCTTCTCCCTATTGAAACTTTGGCATCACAAATTATAGTAAACTTTTTATAAATTTAATAAAATCAAACCACATCTATCACAAAAATCAAACCACATCTATCACAAAATCACTGACATGCAAATTTATAATTCAAATATATGTCCTTAAATTTTTTTTTTTTATCCATGTGCAATGTTTATACTAATTGAATTATTTTTATTTAAAATCATATTTATGGACATCATTTATTAACAAAATTTCATAATTTTATAATGTCAATATAATAAATACATATAATTTCACCTACCATCATGTCTTTTTATGAGTTAACACATAGGATTCGATCAGTTACCTTCGCCTAGTGTCCCACAGGAGGGTATTTGGTTTAGATCACTTCTAGGCCCCATTTGTAATAATGAGACTATTTAAATAAAAAAAATAAAAATTAAGATTCTTTTGACATTTGAATTAGTAAAAGTCTTGATTTTTCATATTCTTTAAATAATATTTTTTTTAAACAATTTACAATTTAAGAAATTAAAGGAAGGAGATTTTTTAAGATATCAATGAAGTTCAAAATTTTGAACAATTAATTTAAACACTTTAAAATTTGAGTATGAATCAAAAAAAAAAAAAAAACTTGATTTTCGTATCCTTTTAACAATATTATTCATTTTTCATCAAAAATCTTTGTTAAGTTCGTTTCATAGGACACTTGAGTCTCGCGATCCAACGGTAAATTAACTTGTAAGATGCATCCCAACCTAAAAGCTGATATCAATTCCTCACTCCTCGTATTTGTAATCCTGTTCAAAAAAAAATTCGTTTCATATGGTCAGTGGGCCTCACGTGACACACAAACTCGTAGCCTTTCGCAGTGTGCGAGACGGTAGCACGTGATTTTCACGTGGGTTGAATCAATCAGTGTATGGTAGGCCCACAATTAAATCAGAGGGAACGGTGTCTGCACTGCTTTTTCCTCAGCCGAGACTTTCACCCTCACTTTGACTTCTTTTTCTAGCCCCTTCCTCACGATGTCCATTGTCCGGGGCGGTTATTAAAAAATTATTAAAAAATTATTTTTTAAAATATTAATTTAATTAATAAAATTATATTTTTAAATAATATTTAAGAAAATTAAAATTTTCACACGTTCTAATCAAGTGACTAACCATTTACTTTTTAAGTAGGAATACCTCAAATTTAAGTTTTGATTCGACACATTTCTCCCTCCCCTTAAAATATGAAGATTATTGGCAGCCTGTTAAAAAAAATAATCAAAAAATAACAATCTTAACATTTTCCATGAGGCCTCTTGCACTGCTCCACGATGCCTTTTCATCTTTTCTCTTTTATTTTTATCCTCTCTTTTCTTTCACCTCATTCATGATTTTAATTCCCCTGCAATTTCACGTTAAGCCATGAATGTCGCTTTTTTGGGTGAAACTGAAAGGCATGATTGTCTTTGCCTTTTCTCCTTTCTCATTCAAACTCCCCACCATCTTGAACTATTCCATGTGGCTAGATGGATGAACTACACTTTTTCATGAACAACAGGTGGAATTCACTCAAGTTTGATTCTTTTTATTAATTGAATAAATATTAATTTTTAATCAATAATTTTTTTTGTAAAAAAAAGAAAAAAAAAAACCTCCCCCACCATCTTAATTGCAAAAACAAGTTTATTGTATGTTGGAGCAACGAATTTTGTTTTTCTTAATCTTGCCTTGTGACGGATTAGAGCTTTAATAAAAGCAAATTTTGTGGTGCAAATCTTACCATGCGTGACTATAATAAATAATCCATGGCTAATTGCGGACCACAATCTTTAATTTATCTGAATTCCTAAGTTTCATACATTTTTTTATGGATTTTATCTAGTACAAAAATCAATTATACAAACGTAATTAATGTTAACAACTAAAATAATTTAATAAAAGTAATAATATTTGAATTCAAATTACGTAACATAAAGATGAGATATAATTTACTTTACTACTAGAAAGATCTTTAAGTATATTTACCAACGAGGAGTTGGATCAAGTGGCAAGCGGCTTGTTCCAGCTTAAGCAAGGTCTCGAGTTCGAGACCTTGTGTACGCAGCAATTTTCGTTGGGAGATTCACCCACCATTCTGGTGCGCCACAGCTGGTCGAATCCGGAGTAATCGGGGCGAAGCCCCGGATACCGGATGGGGAACCAAAAAAAAAAAGATCTTTAAGTATATTTAATTTAAAATAAAAAAAAAATATGTAGCTAGTTCTAATATGATTAATTTGTTACAGTTTAAGATGAGTACCATGTACTAATGCTGAGGTAGTTATCTACTAGACCAAAAAACATGTGTTTGATCTGGCAAGTGGGCTTTCCCTCCTTCAAAAACAGTGCTCCTCATCTCAGTCTAATTAAGTAATCATTTTTCTCCCTTCGTTTTCAGTAGGAAATACCTTTTTCCACACGATATACAAACTTTGTATTACAAAGTGGAGTTGAATTGCCATTCCATATCCAAGATTTTTTATTTAATAATGCATCCCAAAAAGAAAGTTGTTCTAATTGTAAAATCAGTATTTTTCATGGTATTGAATTTAGACAATATACGTATGACATAATGAATTGCCAAAATATATTTTCGCTGGTTGGCCAAAAAAAAAAATCCTGAATTTAAAATTTAAGAAAGAAAAACAAAAGGAATTTTACTTACACCCTAGCGCGCCTATGCCCCATTGGCTGGGCCACTTCTCGTCTTGTATGCGTATGGTCCGTGACTCCGTCCACCTACAAATCCACGCGTGGGTCTTCAGTCTCCCGCTCAGCAGCACTGCGCGGTTCGGTCATGTTCCCTCTACCCTACATTTGGTCCAATATTAAAGCAATTTCACTTTAATGGATGAAATATTATTTTTAAATGATGATTTAAAAAAAAAAATCAACAAAAAAAACAAAATAAAAATTTAAAAGTGAAAATAAAACTGAAAAAAAAAAGTTAATTTCCAAAAAAAGAAAAAAAAAAATATTCCCCTTTGCCCGTTAAATGCAAAATAAAAACTGAAGAATATAGCTATATATGTAAAGCCTTGCACACACAAGTTCACCCCGAGCAACCATTACCGCCTTCAATTTCTATCTTCCATCACTTTCTCTCCTCTAGATTCTCTGCAGATTTCAAGTCTCCTCTCTTCCATTTCCGAACTGCTTCACTTTTTAAATATATATTCTTTAACAACCTTCGATTTGCTATAATTTCAGTTTTCCGCCATGGATTCCTTCAAATTGGACAACGTCAAGGCTGAGAAAGCTGAGGCTCTTCGGAGATTCAACCAGAGGCAAACCTTGAAGAAGCTGCTTCTTCTCTTGTGTGAGCTTTTTCTTGCCTTTTTCTTACTCTCCTGGTTGTCAAAGAGGATCCCTTACGCTCTCCAGATCTCCGGAGATTTTGTTCGTGGATTTGTACTGGTTTTAGACCGGCCTCTGTTTCGGTTTATGCTTGTCAGCCTCCTTATACTCGTTATTTTTGTTTTATCCTTCCGGAAAACGAGCTCACCTGACATCTACGACCAGTATACCGGATCCTGCTGGAAGGCAACGGGAAACACGGCGGAGGAGCCTGTGGAGGACACTGTGGTGGACAAACAAGTTATTCTTGAGGACATTGCGGTTTTGGAAAAGAGAGCCGTCCTGGAGACAGTTACGGAGGAGTCAGAGCGTGCAGTTTCTCCAGTGAAGCAGGACACTCTGAGTACAGTTACGGTAACAGAGGTTACGGTTAGTGCAGTGATAGTTACTGAGACAAAGCCTGCGATGGTGGTGAAGAAGAAGGACTACAGGAGGAGCCAATCGGAGATGTCCGAGAATTCTAGGAACAAAAACCGGCAGGAACTGCAGAGATCGGATACGACGATCGGCAGGCAAATGGTGATCGCCGGCACAGAATCGCGGAGGAAATCAATGGACCATTTGAGCAGTGAGGAGTTCAAGCTCACAATTGAGAGTTTCATTGCAGAACGGAAAAAGACTCTGTTTCTGGAAAACAGAGCATCATCCCTTGCCATAGTGAGTTCTAAGTAAAACTCAAAGCAAATATGGAGAAGTTCCTTTGAGAAATTAATGAAAAAAAAAAGAGAGAGAGAAAGAAAACTATCTCGATTATCTAATTGGGATGTACACTGACATAATATTCCCTATCTTGATGAATTTAGAAATGAAGAGAAGCTTATGGGATTGATGTACAGTTTTTTGTCTTTGATTTTTCTGTTTAGGAATCAAGGTTTTTTTTTGTTTTTTAAATTCTTGTTCTAGTTTGATGAATTTAATTAATTAATCCCAAAAGCTTTTGATCTTCCTTAGTTTGATGAATTTAATTGATCCCAAAAGCTTTAATTAATCCTAAAAACTTCTGATATCTTCCAGTAGGAAAAGTCAATAACATATGCTTGTACCTTCGGCCCACTTTGTCCTAACCCTTCCCGAATTGTGATTATCAATTTATCACCAATATTACATTCATTAAAAGCATTAAAATTCACAAAGACATAAAAACATCTATATATGCTTCAAATCTAAGCAAAGTTTTTAATTCTACTTCGAGTCTTTCCTCTTGAAATGGGTTTTTTGATTCTTTGTGTTTGCTTAGTGTTAAAAAGGGGTCTATTGAAGAAGGGAAATGGTGGAAAATGGAAGCATCGGCGGTGGTTGTTGGGGAAGAGGCCCTTTGGAGTAGGGTTGTGGTTAGGCCTTGTGGGGTCTTTTTCTTACCACTTGTATATGAAAATTCAGCAACAAAAAGGGATGATAAAAGAAGGACGCTTTCTTTGTTCATTAGTACCAAACATTTCCTTTCCTTTTGTTGTTTCTCTCCCCTCGCACTAGCTATTAGAGGTGTACCCATTCAATTACATATAAACATCTCAATTATTTGCTCTTTTGTACCCCTATATCCGTACAATAGGTTCAACTTTCTTCACCCATCCCAAAAGTCTTGAGCTCCATTTGTCATAATTTATTAAAATTATATAAGTCAGGCGTTTAAATCTTTACAATAAATAGAGATATTTATTCATGAATAAAAGAAGAAAACATAGTTCAATAAATAATTCCCTTTCACAGCCAATTAAGCCATGGAATGCAGACTAATTAGGGGCATAAATAAATTTAACTCAATTTCTCCATTTCCATGCCAAGTTGCTGGTACTATTTGAGTTAAGCAACCTTGGAAGCCTTTGTTTTTAGTGTTCCAATACAAACTTATGAGCTCTGTCTGTGGCTTGTTTTATGATGGAGAAAATGAGTTAAAGAAGCCCCCTGCTTTTTTGACAGCAAGAGTTGATCCTGCTTCAAAGCATGCTGTCAGTCAGTTCTATGAGGAGAACAATAATAACACAATAATTAAATGAAAAAGCGAAAGTTAAATGAATGCCAACAATAACAAAAGCATTAGGAGTACTAAAATATGCACAAACTAATTGTCTTTATATTGAAGCAATAATATATATACATACACTTGTCTCTCTTTTCTGGCCATGCAGGATTGTCACTCGATTTCTACCTACTTCTGCTCTGTAGCTGTCATATATGACCAAGAATAAAGTCACATCCAATTCCTATGCCTCTTTATACATCTATTCAATTAATTTACGTAAGAATTATAAAAATTTTATTTTGAAATAAAATTGTATATCAATTTTCTGTTTTAAACTTATAATTTGTGAGATAATAAGAGAATTATATATATATATATATATTTTGGTATGTAAAGATTAAATATTAAATTCTAAATTTATAATTCAAAGTAAAGATAACTCTATCATTAAATTAAATGATTGATGGTATAAGAGAATTATATATTGAAAAAGAAAGAATGCGTTGGATTTGTGAGGAAAAAAGATTACAATGAGTAGGTGACTAAACTAGAAGGATCATTAATCAAATTAATTAGAAAGGTGTTTGATTGGTGAAGTTAACATCATATTCAAAGTTAATTTAATCCAACTCTCAACTTGAAATTGCAACAAGCCTAAGTGAAGAAACAAGCATTTGTCCCCACAATTGAATTTTTATATCACCCAACCGCTAGCTTAAGTATTTGTTGTTATACCTATTTTTTCTCATGTTGTAAGGTATTTTTCTGCTTTGTTTGGTTTATTATATTATATGTTTCTCAATGACATTAAATTAATGATTTAAGGTCATAATTACTTGACCACAAAGCAACCTTCTTTTTTCTCATTTTTAGGACCACTGAACCCTGGAAAGGAAAGGACACCAACAGTGTGCATTTTTCCTACTTCATGCAGGTGAAGTAGATGATGAATTGATAGGA